GCACAATCTTACTTAATTTCTATATCTAACCAGTACGAACAAATTCCTGTATGCTCCTTTTATTGCATTGTGTGAAATGTCCAGTTCGCTGCATGCATTGAAGCACTTCAATGTTTTCTATGGTATATCGTGTATGTAATCGACGATCGTTCTTTTTGTTGTACGTCTATTGTTCGGGATTTCTTTATTTCACTTTTACTTGCATGTCATTGAATTTAAATGGATTTTTAAACATGAAAAATGATCCTTTATTGAATGTTGAACAAAAAAAAAATAAAATTCTGGATTGAACAATCTCTGCTCATTATTAAATTATTCTTTTAACATGATGTCAAAGAAAAATGGACAGAAAATCTATTGAATTTTAAATTCGTTTTCATAGTTATTGAAAAGCAATTATAAATTTCTCCAATATCATGATGAGGTGCACAAAGCTTAGTTTTTAAGTCAGCCTAGAAACCTGATAGGGAGATCGATTGGTGCCATTAGGAAGTTGTCCTGATACAGACAATCTCTCCATACAATTTAACGTTACCGAGGAAAAGCATACAGGGTAGGAATAAAATCATTACATTCCACGGGGAATGAATATCTGCATTATCGCGGGAAAAAAAAATATGTTGTAATTGATCGAAGATTTAAATATTTTAGATTTTGGTGCTTAATTGATTGCATTTTTAAATACTAATAATCCGCATTCGTAGAACATAACCCAGATCTCTAAATCTCATGACCCAATACATTTTAACCTATCAAAAAATATTTATTGATACTTGTATTGGCACACGGAATTTTAATTTTCCATCATTGCTTTCGCTTTCGACGAGGTGTCCAGTACCGAACGTATAATTAGAATTAGTCTCCAATAAATGAGGATATCTTTAATTATTTGAAAATATCATAAAGTCAACTTATGCGTTCAACATTGGAAGATCTCTTCAAATGATTTTTTTTTTAAATTCTAAACGAAATGGGCATTGATTGAATTTATGATACCGTTATTTATTAAAGATATCTTCGATTGAATTAAAGAGACGAGAGCAACAAAACATTTTTTTCCAAAGTTTGATAAATCCATCACATTATGAACTCAACAAATGATTTGGTGTATTCGTCAAAGCAATAAATGCTTTCATAAAATCAATTGATGAAAGCGTCGATGATATCTCAAATAATTAATGATACATGTATCTTCAATAATTTGAGCTTATACGGTATTAAATTTGTCTTTCCTTTTGTGTGATTTGTACTTCAAATTATCAGTCAGTTTGTCTCTATATACTCTGGCGAAATACAAACACATTGTTCAGCAAACTGGGTTTTATTTTTACTTTAGTATTTTATATTTCACAAATGTTGCATTGACAGTGAACAAACTCAACGCGGGTGGTGTTCTGAGCATTCCGACAGTCAAAGGAAGTCTGCATTACTTTAAAAATTTGCATTTAGCTGCTAGTCATCAGGAGTTTTAGCAAACTTCGACTTTATTGAGAAAAGGTTCAATATTTTGATGTTTGCATTTTTAAATGATCCTTATTCATACCACACAGCCCCGATACTTTATGTAAACAAATATTAAAAGTAAAAAATATATCAATGCATTAGTAATGAGAGGTGCATTTAAAAAACTGATATTTAAACTTTAGAGTTTATTTAAAAATGTGTCAGACAGTTCCTTGTTTATCCTACCCTAGCCTTGATAAAACGTATACAGAATTTTGGGATGGTTAAGCTTTCATATACATTAACAAAGACCTACATTTCGTTCTTTAATTATAATTTTAGTTAAGGAATAACTGCGTGGTTTTAAGGTGTTATGATTATGATCAGTTTTGAAAAAGGTGAAGAAAACGAACGGAGATCGATCTCGAAAACAATAGAAATCTGTAAACAGGACAAAAAACAAAGACCTCCTGAAATTCCAGAGATGGGATCAGTTGCCAAGAAGGACAAATCATCCCCCGTCGACCCTTTTTTACTCGCAGTGAGCTCAGTGTATTGATCTGGTAGACAGAATAAATTCTCAGGTCGATTTTAGTATAAAACAGAGGCATAAGTTGTTACGTCAGCCAAAATGGTACCCGTCATAGGTAATATTATAACAAACATTATAACAGAATTTACGAAATGCTGACAGACTTGCTGTTTCGAGTCGACATCTAAAAGGAAGTTATATTGTTATTTGGTCAATCGTGGATAAATATCTGAACATGAGTTCAGCCCAAAGTCTTCTTCTCTTGTAGAATTATTTAATTGTAAATTCTGCTTCATAGGATTACCAAAAAAAAAAATGGCTATTAAAAAGAGCACAGTTAGTAACTATTCGAATGTAGCATCATTCAACGAATTTGAGAATTCTAAAGGTATTTTTATATAATCATGTACTAGATCATGATCTTAAAATTTAAATGTGTAAAATTCAGATCCTTGTAGGAATGGAAATAAGTTTCAAAGCACTTCAGTATGAAATCCAAATAATAAAATAAAATTAAATGTTGTTTCACGTGATACAAAGGTGTGGTCTTATAACATTTTCACCTACTAGTATTGGTCAGAAATTTGTCTCGTATGGTAATTCTAGATCTCTTTGATGAACGAAATTAGTTTTGCGATATTCACGAATTCTCAATTTAAGTTTCTAAATGATTTATTTTTCTCTGAAAGTCATTTTTAAATTCTTTTTCATCAAAAATATATTAAATTACAGACCATTTAATACCAGGTATCACTCAAAGAGATATGGTTTTCATTCTGCGTGTTTCTATTGATGAAGGCATTTATTTTGAATTCTGAATATGTCTGACCTTTTTGAATTCCTTTTTTTTTTGGAGTTGTCGGTCTTTTTAAATTACATTCTCTGTGTGAGAAATTAATTTGAACTTTTACATTTTGCAATGATAAGAATATCATAACTTTAGTCGCCAACGAAAAATTCATTTCTTTCAATCGAAATCATGTAATGGTACTTGCCATATCACTTTCAGTATAAAATTTCAATTACGTGCACATTTGAAAAAAAGGTATGAACAAATATCATTAGTTCTGGCCCCCCTAAGTTGAAGTAAATGAAATATTTATATCTGCAATGTTAAAAGAAGACATCAATATTTTCAATTTATGCTTTAAAACATGGAATGATATACTGAATATTTATTGTTTTGGTGTATATGAATTTTTTGTATAACTAATACATTTTCGTCACTGAGCAGTATAAATTAATCAAAAAATAAATAATTTTGTTGTCTTTAAAAAAGGCCTAATGTTCCAATTTATATTATGTTATACATGTACTTTCATAAAAATAAAACTAATGGTTGCATTTTTTTCGTGTTAAAAATGCAACAATGGAGTATCTGTTCATGATATACGTGTAAGAATATTCTCTACACATGCAACTTTCTACGATGTTGTTTTTAAAGAACCAGAAGTCTCTGATGAGACTGTAGCTCTACTGGTCTGTAAATATAGTAAAAATGAAAAGTAGCACTTTGATTTGAAACTTTGCAACAGGCAGCAAATAGTAGAATTATGTACCTTAGAGTAATCATGATTGGTTGATGATTTTTGTTTTCATTACTATTATAGTGATAAATTTATTGTATACGCCCTTATAACTAGCTAAATATAGCAAAATAAACTTAAACTAGAACTGTCCAAACGGGACAAAATACCACCCGCTGGGTTTTTCAGAAGTAAGTTTTTCCATAATAAAGATATTATCAAACACGAATTATGAAATTTTTATTCCAGTGACCTTGAACTTCCCCAAATAACCTTGGGTCAAGGTCATGACACACCCTTGGGTCATGGGCAATCTTTCAGTGAAATGAGAACCTACCAAGTTTATCCATAAGAAAGATATGGACCGGACTTGAATTATGAAATTTTTATTCCAGTGACCTTGAACTTCCCCAAATGACCTTGGGTCAAGGTCATGACATACCCTTGGGTCATGGGCAATCTTTGTGTGAAATGAGAACCTACCAAGTTTATCCATAAGAAAGATATGGACCGGACACGAATTCTGAAATTTTTCTACCAGTGACCTTGAACTTCTCCAAATAACCTTGGGTCATGGGCAATCTTTGTGTGAAATGAGAACCTACCAAGTTTATCCAGAAGAAAGATATGGACCGGACACGAATTATGATATTTTTCTTCCAGTGACCTTGAACTTCCCCAAATGACCTTGGGTCAAGGTCATGGCACACCCTTGGGTCATGGGCAATCTTTGTGTGAAATAAAAACCTACCAAGTTTATCCATAAGAAAGATATGGACCGGACAGGAATTATGAAAATTTTCTTCCAGTGACCTTGAACTTTCCCAAATGACCTTGGGTCAAGGTCATGACACACCCTTGGGTCATGGGCAATCCTTGTGTGAAATGAGAACTCACCAAGTTTATCCATAAGAAAGATATGGACCGGACACGAATTATGAAATTTTTATTCCAGTGACCTTGAACTTCCCCAAATGACCTTGGGTCAAGGTCATGACACACCCTTAGGTCATGAGCAATCTTAGTGTGGAGTAGTAGATTCTAATGTCCCTCTGTAAGAAAGATATGGACCGGACACGATTGCACAGACAGACGGACAAGGTGATTCCTATATACCCCCCAAACTTCGTTTGCGGTGGGTATAAAGATGAATTGTTTAATATTTATCCATAAAACAAAGCATAATAGCAAGGGACTTTTTAACGTCCAAGAAAAATAATGTCATATTTCTGCATACTACGTCATCAGTTTCAGAGAGTGGTGATATGGATTCAGAAAACCACAATGTGGTGATCTGGAAAGTCGGATCACAACTTCACGTAATTGTGTAAAATCAACAATAAAATTGAGTGATACACATTAGGTATATAATAAAGCTATTCATATGGCGTGGAGTCTATGAAATGCACAGTTCAACAATAATCTTCAAATCCATGGAGAGTGTAATTACAATAATCTTTCCAAAAAGCATTTCTTTTTCCTCAAAACATACACAAAAATTTTAAAAACAATTTTATTTAAACTTAATAAGTTTTCCAAATTATCTGCACAACAGCAATAAATCTGTCACTGTATTTAGTAGTTTAGTGTTATAAACATAAGAGTGTCTTGTTACACAATAAATTAGGTGTACACAGTGTTAAATCATTCCTCTATCTGTCCACCTCCCCAAACACAATGTCCAGTGTCCCTGTTAAATAAAGAATCAAAGTAAGTACAGAGGAAAATGTCATCTGATGAATAACTATTTATAAATGTAATGATTGGGGAGAGAGATATCTTTGTAAATTATGACCTCCATCTGCTGTTTCAATACTTTGACAATCAATGAACATTTCCTTCATATTGTTGGAGACATGCATTAGATAAATATCAATAACTTACCAATGATAGCCACAAGATCTGCAATCAAGTGATTTTTTGCCATGTGGTCCAAAGCAGCCTGCAAAGAGTAAATGTTTAAATATTTCACTATGTTTACTCTTTCCTATTAACTTGCATTTCTTTTTATGAAAAAAAGTAAGTAAATTCTTTCACAACTACTGTTAAACATGTATATATGACTGATTAATGTCAAACAAAGAACAACTGGAATGTTTCAAGTAATGATTAATTACTGTAAATGAATTATATTGTCAGCGTCTACAATACTTGGCAGAAATATTGATTTTTGAACAAGTAATCTTAGATTTTATTTAATAAATTTCTTAAGGTTATTATAAAAATAATACATGTATATATGTTCTTGAATTTAGTGTTGGAGTTGAATTAGCATAAGTTTCTTTCAGCGAGAGGTGCTGAAAAGAAAACGTGGCTAAATGTAAAATGTTTACATTAGAAGGAACAAGAGATAACTGTTTATCAATTCACCATTTACTGGTCAATTCTTTTTTTACAGTATAAATAGTTTTACATATATGTATAAAATTAAGACCAGAGTAATACAATTACCAAATGAGCAAATCCAGGGGCCTTGATTTTACACCTGTATGGTTTGTTGGTTCCATCTGAGACCAGGTAAACACCAAATTCACCCTGTTATAAGATATACATGTACATGTATCACAAGTAAACAAAATGGAAGGGTAAAAACAATCCTTTACATAAAGCAAATGTCAAGTTGTACCTCTCTTTATAATAGTCCTTACTGCTAGGCGGTTATATTTCTGTGATTAACATTGTTACCTTTGGTGCCTCAACAGCTGTGTAGGTGGTACCTGGGGGGACATTATAGCCCTCAGTATACAGCTTAAAGTGGTGGATCAAGGCTTCCATACTCTCCTGTGTCAAGTAAAATAAAAAAAATAGAAAAGCTATTTTTTCTTCTTTTAAAAACAGAAAGTCTGTAAAATATAAGCTAAACATAAAGCATGTTATGCAAACTCATCAAAAATCCTTCAGTAACTTGCTACTGGCTCTCACCTTCATTTCTGCCCGTTTAGGTGGCACCACTTTGTTGTCATCTGTCCTGACCTCTCCCTCTGGCATGTCGTTCATACACTGATGAATGATCCTCATGCTTTGTCGCATCTCCTCCATACGAATCAGGTATCTAAAGGAATACATACAGGGGATAAAAAAAGCTTGTGTCTTCAATGGTATAATCCTGCGTTACAAACTGTACATATGACTGTAAACAAAGCATTAGCTATTTTTGTACTTGTATCTGGTTAAATAATCTACATCCATACATCAATTGTAAATGTCAAATAAAAAATAATGCAATTGCATTTGTTGCGAGTTCAGAAATAACTAAATTTTAACATCATATCAATAAGACATTTGGTTTTAAAAAAAAAAGTATACGTTTTTGACATTAACAGTTAATTCCAAGAAAATTTTTTTTTCAACCTCTGCTGATGTAATATTTGACCACTGTTTTTCTCTCTGGATGTCAATTTCGACTGTTACCTTCAAAATCATAAACTTTTTATAAAATGAGATATAATGAAAACCAGCTTTCATTTTTATGAAATTTTAATAAAGGTTTATTTAGTTGACTGACAAAGCAGATGCATTAACCAGTACATCCAATACCCCCCCCCCCAACCTCTAAGCATTGATGTCACTAATTCTCTTAGGCTATCTAAATTTAATTCCTTGGTTCTCAGGCCAATTTTCTCCAAAACAGATGCGGGAGGGCGGCATTTTATTTTTCATTTTATTGGCAATAAAGTAGATGAGGGAGGTATTTTTTTTAATTTTAATTTCCGAATTTTCTTTAACATAAAGATAATTTTTTTAATCAAAGATATACTTTCCATTTCTGGTCAAAATTTCTGCTTTATCCATTGCTTAACAGCGTGTAAACATCGTAGGTAATGTCCTCGAATGTATTTTCAAACGAAGTAGCCAAAATCTCATTGTAAATGGCTACCGGAAGTGATATTTGAATACTAAACTACGAAACAAATGAGGTCGGAATTTTTTTTCCCGGATTGGTCTCCGCAACACCAACTTTTTATTTTATCAAAAATACAATAAAATCGGCAATGCGGCTACCTCAAAACGGATGCGCGCGGGCCTGAGAACCAAGATTTCAATTTTATATGGCCTTACCTGTCATAACAGTCACCATGTATACCAATAGGTACATCAAACTCAACTTTGTCATATGCATCGTACGGCTGGGTCTTCCTCAGATCCCAGAGAATTCCAGAGCCTCGGAGCATGACACCACTGGAAACAAAACACAATGTATTTATCTCATGAATTACAAGTAACACAATTCCCTGCATATGTCTCATCGACTATAAAACTGCTTTAAATAAAAATTAAACTAGAACTGTCCAAACGGAACAAAATACCCCCCCCCCCCCCCCCCCCCCCACCCCGCTGGGTTTTTTCAGAAGTAAGGTTTTCCACAATAAAGACATGTATCACACATGAATTGTGAAATTTTTCTTCCAGTGACTTTGAACTTCCCCAAATGAACTTGGGTCAAGGTCATGACACACCCTTGGGTCAAGGGCAATCTTTGTGTGAATTGAGAACCTACCAAATTTATCCATAAGAAAGATATGGACCGGACACAAATTATGAAAATTTTCTTCCAGTGACCTTGAACTTCCCAAATGACCTTGGGTCATGTACATGACACACCCTTAGGTCATGGGCAATCTTTGCATGAAATGAGAACCTACCAAGTTTTTCCATAAGAAAGATATGGACCGGACACGAATTATGAACTTTTTCTTCCAGTGACCTTGAACTTCCTCAAGTGACCTTGGGTCAAGGTCATGACACACCCGTGGGTCATGGGCAATCTGTGAAAGAAATGAGAACGTACTAACTTTATGTCCTCTTAAGATATGTATCTGACATGAATTATGAACTTTTTCTTCCAGTGACCTTGAACTTCCCCAAATGACCTTGGGTCAAAGTCATGACACACCCTTAGGTCATGGGCAATCTTTGTGTGGAGTAGTAGATTCTAATGTCCCTCCGTAAGAAAGATATGGACCGGACACGTTTGCACAGATAGACGGACAACTAGACAGACGGACGGACAGACAGACGGACAAGGTGATTCCTATATACCCCCCCAAACTTCGTTTGCGGGGGATATAATTATGGAATCAACTCTTAACCTGAAGCCGTAATCCAATGCATCTTTAGCACTGATCACTCCAACATCCATGGTTCGACTCATCCAGATCCTGTTTTCCGTTAATACATTTTCCAACTCCTCCAAACGTAGATTGAATTTTGTGAGAAAGTCATAAATGTCATCCATCAATCCAATTGGAAGGTCCTGCAAAATCGAATGGTCTTTATTTATTCTACATGCACTATTTGATAACTGCCTGTTTTTTTTTACTTTCAGAATAATTAAATGTATTTCAGATTGAAGTAAATGTTTACCAGAGCCACTCCTCCAGGTCTTACATATGCAGCATGCATTCTGGCTCCAGATGCTCGCTCATAAAACTCCATCAACTGCAAGAAAGGGAAGAAAACATTGTAAATGTTACCAAATTCAAATTTGGGAATTAAATGTACCTTGGAAAAATGATAAAAATGGGTAAATACCATTTTTTCGAAAAGTTGTTATTCTAGTATATGCCAGAATACTGTTTCTATTTTGTTTTTAATTTCAAACCTCAACAAAATAGAAATAGAGAAAAATCAATGAAGATTTGAAAATACAGCAAAGTATAAAAGTTTTCAAAAAAAAAGGAACATCAATTTCTTTGTCCGAAGATAGATGACAGATAATTTTTTTATGTAGCTCACTTTTTCTCTCTCCTCAAAGAGCCAGAAGAAAGGTGACATGGCTCCAACATCCAGAGCATGTGTTCCTATTGACATCAAGTGATTCAGTATCCTTGTGATCTCCCCAAACATGGCTGGAAACAAACAGAAGGAATCAAAATCCTGCTGGGATTCTTTGTCAAAAATTATCTGTATTTTTCACAATTAATTTCTTCGTGCTATATAGACTAACAATTCAAATGACAATATACAGTATATATATTTGGCTGTGTTTCACTTCTTACTTCGGATATATTTGGCTCTTATTGGCACATCTATGTTGAGTAATTTTTCAACTGCTAGAGAATAAGCTTGTTCATTACACATCATAGATACATAGTCTAATCTGTCGAAATATGGTAGTGCCTGAAATAAAAAGGAATAGGATTTCCTCAAAATAATGATCTTGTCATCAACCACACAATTGTAATGATTGCACCAACAGCTTTGTCAGAAAAGTATATGACCTTGTATATTTAAGCCATATAATAAAGATACATATAACATTAACAGATATATATTGTGCAATGAATAAATTGATTCTTTTTCCTGTTTGTTAAGCAAATAGTAGGAAAATCAAACACTTTAAATACAGCTTACAACTTAAAAACAAACTACTTATGACCCTCTAAATGTATTTTTAATTAGCAGCATAAACAAGTGCTGTGAGGGGGTTTAAAATTCCATCTGTTTAGTTTTCCTTTTAACATCTGATTGACGATGCATTTGAATTTTGATCATTTACAGTAAATAGCATGCCACTTGGTCCATTTGATCAAATTTTATCATCCAGATGATATATTTTTCTCCACTTTCAGGATGATACTGTAGTTATTATTGGAATGACTTTTTTTCCCCTGCTAGTATCTTTACCTGAGTGTACGTCTTATACTCAATCAATTTCTCTGTAGCTCTGTGTAGCAATCCTATGTGTGGATCACATCTGACAACAGTCTAAAACAAAAATAGCATTTCATTTTGGTCAAATCAACATTTACAGTAAATAGATTTATTTGTTATACATGTAGTAGTAAAACATAAATTACATGCAATTACCTCATTCTGTAGTGTAACTATCAACCGCAGTACTCCGTGAGCTGCAGGGTGCTGAGGTCCAAAGTTTAATATGAAGTTCGAGACTGACAAATCAATGTCATCCACATTCCCTGTTATTATGAGACAATTATAAGATTATATAAATTATACAGTATACTTCAAGAATTATCATTAAAACAAAATTGCAGAGAGGAGATGTGTATATATAATAATTTAGGTTTATACAATAACAATTGATAAAAAAAATCAAGTATAAATCATCTATTTCATTTCGATAAAATTCTTATTTTCATATTGTTCCCGTATATATATTATATCATTCTATTTCAAATCAAATTGTTTGTGCAACAAATATTTGTATTGCTTTATTAAATCAGATTTGACATTTGTCATCAGATGATCAGAAACATTTTTAGTAATTATATTTTTATGAAGTTATTTACTTTTATAAATGTACTGTATACAGGGAAATTTTCGCCCCCGTTTTATTTTCGCCCCTTTCGCCCTACCCTCATTTGGGCGAATTTAAAACGGGGCGAAATGAAATAATACAGTATATTTTTTAAAAATAATACTGTGAGTGAGCGAATTTAAAACGGGGCAAAATTGTTTGCAAGTGAGAAAGGGCGAAAAATAAACGGGGCGAAAATAACCCTGTATACAGTACTTATTTCTGAAATTCTATTTTTTTTTAATTGCCTATCTGACTTGGGAGAGAACCCAAGAAGTTTTGGCTGGTCCATTTGAAGTATTCATGGTTCTGTTGGTTCATGACAATATTGGAAATATTGTGGTTTATTTTATTTTTTTCCAACAATGTATTTTAGACATAATCACAAATACTCACGTTCTGGTGGATGCCAGTTGGACATTTCAGGGTCTGGATATAAGACTGGCTGATTAAGTCTCTCTATCCATTCCGGATCTTGTAATGGGTCCCATCTCGCAGACCCAGCAAACCGGACCTGGCTTTAAATGATATATATGTCTGATCAAAACTGGGACTTTTTCCAGGACAAGTGAGTTTTGTACACTTTTTAGAAACTAAATTCTATTTTTTTCAATTGATCAATTGATTTTTTTTCTGCAGTAACTCTGGACCCACAATGCATCGCTTGATCAAGCTATGTTATTGCTCTGGATTTATTGCAGATAATTAGCAAATAAATGATTATGTTCTTCATAAAAATCAGCACTGTTCAGGCTTCTGTTTGGTAATTTACGTACGTCATGTGATGTCAAAGTCTAGACGCACCATATGTCAGGTGTGGTTTAGAGAGACGGGTCTCAAAACAGTGAACTGAAAAGTTATCTTTACTAGCCCTAACTGTCGCATTATCAACAAATCAAAAATCCATGGTATCAATTTGTCATCAAATACAACCATTATTAAAGATCCGAACTCTGAAAAAGTGTTTAAAAATGGCTAAATCAAGCTACTTTGAGTGGATGAATAAAGCTACATTATAAACAACATGAGCTTGTCAGTTAGCTTAAATTAGTGTTGTACAAGACCTGGCCTTGGAAACTTAGACGAGCATATTTTTTATCTCAGTCTCACTTTTTCCAAAGGAACTAATAGCGAGCCCAGCAAGTGTCAGGAAGCGTCATGTCTAAATTATATTTTTCATTTTTGGTTTCGTAACATATAAGCTCAGAGAAAATTCGGAATATCATAATATTTTGGCTGTCAAGGACATCGATCATTTCTAAAATCAACATATAAGAGCAAAGTTTAAAGATTTTTTTTTTTAAAAATCATTAACCTACCAAGCTGGTGTGGCAGTTTTACAAAGAAGTGATTGCCAGTGGTTTGTCCTAACCACAGGAGCCAATTTTCGTAACAATCGTGCAGCCGCCGCCATTTTTGACGGCCTTCTGGTAATGACCGGAAATATATTCAAAAACACTAAACACCGAAACCATATGGGCACTGTAAACGTCTTTTTGCCCATACGAGTTTATTATACCCCCCGCTTGAAAAGCAGGAGGGTATATAGTAATCGTTAATTCCGTCCGTCCGTCCGTCCGTCTGTACGTCCGTCGGGTGCGTCGATTTACCCAAAAGGACCCAAAAGGACCCAAAAGGACCCAAAAGGAACCCAAAAGGACCCAAAAGGACCCAAAAGGAACCCAAAAGGACCCAAAAGGAAATCAAAAGGACTCAAATTAATATATTATAATACATTGAACATTAATAATTTGAATTAACTTATGAATATTACATTATAAATTTAATTTAAAATTGGCAAAAACATGTATACATTTATATTGTTGCAACTTTTCTTAAAGAAATAACATACGACTTTTATAACACATCAAACATTAAATCTGGTCAGATATGCTTTGATTTCTTTTAGCTGAATTTAACAAAGTGCACTGTATTATTCTATTTCCCCTTCTGTTTTATTATATCTTATTATATGATATTTAATAAATAAAGAAATAAGTTTATTTAATGACATGTTCTAGGCATATGGTATCGGGGATGGGTGGGGGTGGGGGATGGGGGGGACCTCCCACCCCAACCCAAACACGCACTTTACCCTCAAAAAACTAGTTTTAGTTTTAATAAAATATGAAAGTATTCATTATATATCCATTCATTCTCTTTATTTCAAGTCCTTTTGGGTCGTTCTTAATTTCCTTTTGGGTCCTTTTGGGTTCCTTTTGGGTCCTTTTGGGTTCCTTTTGGGTCCTTTTGGGTTCTTTTGGGTCCTTTTGGGTCCTTTTGGGTAAATCGACGCACCGCGTCCGTCCGTCTGTTACGCTTTTGGGTACCCATCTCTTATCCGCAACTCCTCTTATACCACTGAATGAAATTTGATGAAACTTTCACAGAATCTTTATTACATATTGCCATTGTGCACCTCCTATTTTACTTTTTGATCCGACACATATTTTGGGTTTCCCATAGCAAAACATGGACACTGCCATTTATACACATATGGGAAGCGGGGGGTATCATTTAGTGAGCTCATTGCTCACAGTACCTCTAGTTTAAAATTGTTTTATCGATATATTTTTCATTCATATGTTATAACAATGATCTGTAAGAGGATGACCATTTGCTTCTGATGGAGAGTGGGCTGGTAGATTTTAGAAATAAATTGTCCTCCAAAATGTTAGAAAATGTTAATTGATCTGTCCTCGATGGGCAAAAAATATATAATCTGTCTCTGACCAGAAGTGCTATTACTCTCCCCACTCCCCCGACCAGTTAGAGTTTAGGAGTTGAGGTGTTTCCTTTTTTTCAGTGAACCTAACAACAAATTAATGATTAACATGTTGTCAATCGACAATGAAAAAATTATAGAGAGACTTTAATAATTTCTCAAAAATATGAGATTTCTCCATGCTATCTACATGCTATATGATAACTTTTCAATCGTCAGCTTCCCTTACTTATGAAGCAATACAACCTCATCACCTGCATAGGGTTTATATCTCACAGTTAATTCGATACGCAAGAGCATGCCCTACGTATGAACAATTTTTAAAATTAACGAGGTAAGATATTGACACACAAAATGAAGAAACAAGAATATCAGCATTCTAGTTTAAAGTCATCATTTCTTAATTTTTATGGTCGATACAATGATCTTGTAAGTAAATACAATTTAACATTAAATCAAATGCTGACTGACGTTCTTCATAGCAATTGTTAGATAATCATTGACACACTGAATTGTCGACGGATTTTGCTGTTATTTCCTGCATGATCATGACAAGGAGTAGACGGGGGGTGTGACGGTCGGTAGGGAATGCTCACTCCTCCATGACACCTAATCCCATCTCTGGTGGTTTAGATGACCGTGTTTGCTCTGCTCCAAAATTTGTTTCGTTTAATTGACGTTTGAGCTGGAATACGTTTGTAATCTTCATATTTTTTCATACAAAAGACATGTTACAGAGACATGAGCCTGAATTTATAGGTGATAAAACCCCAGTATATACTGATAATTTTTAGGGCGTTTTAAACAAATATTAGTAGGTTTTATTATTTGTCTAGGAAAGATGATAAGAGTCTCACTTTGACTAATTACGACACAGGACACAGGATTGACACACACACACATAAGGTCATTGCAGACGATCTCGACCGGCGAATCAACGAAAGAAAGATGCAAGAATGTTTACAGAAACGACAGAGCTCCATTAAACAGTCCAGATCTTGATACTGCTATAACCCGAATCAGCTGCAGCGCAGAGGAAAAAGCCTGCTTACCACTGGAGAGACACCGAAGATACATGTAGGTACCTTTCTACAATCACACCACGGCACTAAGCATCTTTGAACTCAATTGGTGGCCGTATTGGGAGCCATGACAACCTTCAGATTGAAAACGAACCAGCAGTAGCAATGCAGATTACAACTATTTCTATTGACGGAGAGTGATATAATGTCTATCAGATCACCTACTAACCAAGTGGTTTTGCATCTGCATGCAGTCCACCATTCTTCCGTTGCCAAAGATTTTCCATACTGCCATCTTGAATGCCATAACCACTGATAGAAGACATTTTCTACTGGAAGAAAAAAGTCTTTGACCCATTAAAGTTTGTCCACAAACCTATTTAAAGGAATACAAACCATGCAGAAACCATATACAAGTGTAAGTACTACTTGCCCACACTTTCTTTTGTTAAACACCGCAATGAAAACAAAGAAGCAATCAAACTAACGGAAAAAATAGGAATAGCATCCTTCGTGCATTTTTATGAAATTGAAGGAAACTCCTTAATGACACTTGAAAAAGGATACAGTCAAAGAACAGGAAGGGATAGTTATAGTAGATATACTAACATCAGGACTTCAAAGAGAAAAAAAACATGGGGAGAAATCTATCGAGGTGACGAAAAGTAGCACGACCTAGAGTGATAAAAGGCCCAAGCGACATCCCATACAAAGTGAATAACAATGACCGAGGTTGCTCATAATGCTGTTGTAACGATGAAAAATGACCCCCGTAGAATATTGACCTGTGGGTCATTTTTCTACGTAGAAAATGACCCCGGGTCAATATTCTACGACAAGTAGGGTCATTTTTCGACTGTAGAAAAACATTCCAGACCAGCAATTCTACGAGTCCACACACGCTGAAAAATGAACCCCATAGAATTTTGACTCCCTACTTTTTTATACAATAAAAATTTATTATTATATTTTTGGGTGTTTTTTTATCATTCAAAGGTTTTGTTCCGAAAATGGCATGATATGTTTCTGAGAACTATAAACTTTGCATTTTTTAAATAGAAGCAAGAAAAGCAACGTTATTTAACTGTATACATGTAAATTCAATTCCCTTATCTCTCACATTTAAACTTACATAAACATCTGTATGGAAGAAGGATATGGAGATAACGAACAGTATTCAATATCAAAGTCCATAAAACAATACAAAATAGAAGCAGAAAAAAACACAGACCTCCAAAACACCAGAAGTTGGATCAAGTGCCATGGAGGAGTGAGCATCCCCTGCTGACCGGTCACACCCGCTGTGTGATCCTTGTCATGATCGGGAAATAACGGAAAAATCCGTCGTCTATTCAATGTAAAAATAATGGACTAACGATCAGCACAAAAAAAATCAGTCAGCATTTGACTATATGATAAACTGTATTTGCTGACAAGGTCATTGTATTGACCATAGAATTTACGAAATGATGACTTTAAACGAATATTCTTGTTTCATCAACTTGCTTTTCAATGATTTACCTCGTTTAGAAAAGGTTCATTCGTAGATCATGCTCTTGCGTATCGAATCGACTGAGATACATGCACTTCGTATGCAGGTGATGAAGATTTATTGCTGCGTGAGTAAAGGAAGTTGACGAAAGAAAAGTTAAAACCATCACGTTTATCATATAGCTTGGTTGTTAGATTCCCATTAACGTCTTTTTCAAGTAAAATATCGAAGTATGAAACATATGTGTCAGACTCTGTGGTATCTTTTATCTCAAGCTCTTCAGGATATATCGTATTGACGTAGAAATGGAAATCACCATTGTTAATTGACAATACGTCGCCGATATATCTAAATGTCGAGTTGAAGGCCACAGCAAGTGTTTTCTTCATTTCAGGACTAAGATTTTGCAGAAATTTTGCTTAATTCATATGAATACAGAAATAGGTCGGCTAATAATGAAGCGCAATTGGTACCCATGGAAATTCCAATAGATTGTTTGAAGACCTGGTTACCAAAAACCACATAGATTTTTTCAATCAAAATTTCAAGCATCTTTTTATGTCAACTTCAGAGTATTTGTGTGTGTAATCAGGGTGTGTTTTAACAAAATAATTGTGCAAATGACCAATTACCAGGTAAGAGAATTTACGAGTTCTATTTTTACTGAAAAAGCAGCTGTCAATAATATCAAAAGTCTTCACTTTATTTTATCGTGGGGTATGGTTGTGTATAAAGTTGAAAAGTCGTAAGTTTTTAAGCTGTTGACTTTGGTAAAATTGTCCAAAAGTTCTTTGGAATTTTTGAGTATCCACATTTGATTCACACCACTTCTTGAATATATTGTTGCACAGTACTCTTGAAGTTTTTCCTTCATTTCTGTCAATATCTTATGAGATGTAACGAAAGAGGCATGGTTTAACATTTACTGGAACCCGCAATGTATCGATTCTTATGAAGTTTCGGAATCCAATATGTATAAAGTAGTTCATATTCATTTTGGCTCTGTGGAATATCAAAATATTCAAAACTGACATATGATTTTGAAGAATTTCTTCCTCAGAAAGAGAAGTATGAGTATAAGTAGGATTACCACTAGTAGAATTAAATCCAAGTTCTTCTAAAATACAATTTGTATAATAAGCCTTACAAACGAAGACAATATTGTTACCTGCTTTGTCGGCAGGGACCAGTACGTAGTGATGATGTACTTAGTAATCTATCTAATTCTTTTTTCACTTCTGGATTATTGAACACAGAAGGATAGATGGTTTTCATATTGCCCTTCACCCTTTTATACGCGACTTAAACATGGATCTCATACATTTAATCCATTCTGACAAAGTGCCAACGTCTTCTTTTTCATATCTGGCCCATTGTCTGGCGTAATTTTCAACAGAATCCATTATATTTATGAAATTCCAACGCCAGTTGAAGGAGCAGGGTTATGCATTCTGCTTTAAAATACACACTTTTTAACTACCTTATATAAAGTACTGGTACATGTAAATGTTTCCATGTATATACAGGAAATATCATACACATCCAGTACGTTCTTATAATGATATTAAAAATTCCTCCAAAATTGTCCAAAATTTACATCTGAGTGAATAACAGTTCAACCTTCAAAGATATCTATAAATTCAAAAAAACCTTCCCTTTTCAAGACTTTTTAGCCCACAGACACCTGACCAATGGTTGCTGTAACATCCCCTTTCTTCTGAGATTTTATAGACATTACCTTTGCAAATTAATGAACTCTATTAGTCTATCATGCAATTACTTCGATATAAAGTCCTAGCACATACCGTCCAAAACTTAATGCTAAAGTACATAAAAAAGGTCTTGTCATAAAAATACAACTGTGAAATATGAAAGCCATAGTCCTCATCAGTCTAAAGATATGGGCAAGATTTATGCGGACAAAATTAATATACAAACAGACAGATGGACAGGTAAAAAACTATATATCCCCGAAACTTCGTTTGCGAGGGCAAAAGTATAACATTAAAGTAGCAACGTTTTCATCATCCAAAATTTTTTTTCTATTGGTAAAAAAACTCTTAAAATCATTATATGTAAGTACATGTAGAACTGGGAGAACGATACTACATATGCCAATTTTTGGAAAGCCGCGCACTCCTTTCTTGTAGTTAATCGTGTTTTATGCTACAACCCCCATTTTGTTAAGGTTTTGTTGACACTAGCAAACGACAAAAGACATTTTACAAGTTTTGAGCTAACCACGTTTTATTACCTTAATGTCAGAGGTCAGAGGCAATTTAATTCGTACTTATTTTTACAAATTAAATCATCCCTAGTTTTTTTATGAGAAGTTTGAAACTTCATTCATAGAAAAACAAGTATTTTTATAAGATATAATTTTCTAACCTTTTTCGCACCAGTTTTAAAAGTAGGGATCAAAAACGTGAAACTTATGAAAAATAAAATTATTTTGATTTTTGCAATTTATTTATCCATGGTAAAATCAAATTAGTAAAATTAATCTATAATTTATTAATTATGAAAACTTTTTTTCTGACACCAGCTATAAACTAACCTTTTTTTAAACTGTGAAAACTTACTGTATAAAATGTATAAACGTTTCTATGAATGCGCCTATCTTTGCTCTAATAGCTTCTAGCTAAAACATTTTAATATTGTTTTCCTTTAATGGTGATAAAACAGTTTGTATTATTAATGTAAGGTATTGTATAGCTTTGATTTCGTCATCTAAGTTAGCTAAAAAGCTTTCAGAAATAACACTTTAAAGCATAAGGCAGCTTGATATTACCCGTATACATTCGCCTAACAAGAATATTCCTGCCAAAACGAATGTTTTTGCATCAAAAAATGACAAGGGGTCATTATTCTATGGGGTCATTTTTCTACAATGCACACGGAGAAAACGACCCCGAGGCCATAATTTCTACAGAAATGTGGATCATTTTTCTACGTAGAATATTGACCAGGGGGTCAAATTTCTACGTAGAACTATGACCCCCGGTCAATATTCTACGGGGGTCACTTTTCGTCATTACACCGTGACAGTTGATAAAAAAGGTCTGGAAGAATGAAGTATTATCGACATTTAAGAGAAGACTGAGCATAGGGATGCATGATTCCCAGAGAAAAAGACTGGAAGATGTACAGTTTCAATGCTGCATGTGAGAGAAAAGACTTTTTTCAATACTTACAAAGAGAAAATCTATACTCATGACAGAGAACAACTAGAAAAGGTTGGGACCAATCGCCCAAACGGGATATAATAGTCCGTTTGGGATATAATATCCCAAATGGGCTATTAATTTACAGTGCAAAAATTGAAAATTTTTATTTTGGCTACAAATATCATAAATCCGCATCAGGACACTTATAAAGGAATAAGTTTTGGTTGACAAGTTTTCCTGTATGCCCATTGTTTAGGAGATTGATCCCTCGGAAGTTCCTTAACTTCTTGGGGATCAATCTTATAAACTGTAGGGTTGCAAAAAAACTTGCTTACCAAAATGTATTCCTTTTTAAGTGTTTTGACTATTATATCCCGTTTGGGCGATTGCTCCCAACCTGTAGAAAGAAACATCCAGTCATAAAGTTTACTGACTGTATGGAACCAGTGTAACCGGTTAGCGGATACGCGAAGTCAATAAGAAGAACGGAGACTTGTGTATTACGGTATGGCGAGATCTGGTAAATATGTTAAGGCCGGTATACACGGTAAGATTTGTATTATAAGATTTGTATTAAAATACAAAATCTTAATGTGTATACACTCTTAATACAGTGTATCATAAGATTTAAACTGTATTAAGAATAGAGCAATGCTCTATTTCCTAATACAAGTCTTAACATACCTATCACTTTCAACCAATGAAATGTTATGACACTAGGGGTCATCCTATTTTTATCATTACTAAAAAAAGCACATGGTAAATAATAATGGTTGACTTTACAAGTAACTCGTGTCTTAATGGGAAGGAGAAAAGGACTTGTGGAATATATCAAGCAGTGCATAGTAAGATGATAGACACTGCTATCAGAACCTCATCCTCCAATTTTATTACTTTGACAGAGACAGATATATGGCGGGGAAAACACGTTGGAATACGTAGTTTATTTACAATCTTATAAGATATGTTTAAGCGTGAGTACAGGAAAGTATTATAATACAAAAGTATTATAATACTTGTATTATACTACAAATCTCATCGTGTATACCGGCCTTAAGGCTTCGTTCCACACCAGCTCACCAAGGCTATTGTGAAATATATGGAGATAATCAACAGGTGCCATGGAGGAGTGAGAATTCCCTGCCGACCGGTCACACCTGCCATGTGCTTTTTGTCATGATCGGAAAATAAAGGAAAAATCCGTCGTCAATTCAATGTGTAAATGATGGACTAACAATTAGTATGAAAATCGTCAGTCAGCATTTGACTCAATGATAAACTGTATGTGCTAACACGGTCATTTTATCGAGTTACGAAAGAACTCACGAAATGTTGATTTAAACGACACTGCTGATATTTTTGTTTCATCAACTTTTTTGTCAATAACTTACCTCGTTTTAGAAATTGTACAGACGTAGAACATGGTCATGCGTATCGAATCAACTAAGAGATATAAATTCCATATGCAGGCGATGAAGGTATATTGTACTCTAGTACATTACTATGTAAATTGTTCCACCACACACAGACAAAATTGTTAACATCTACTATAGGGATATTAAGTTGCGATTAGAAAGAGACATTGAACGGTGACAGTATCAATTAATATCGCAACTCTTTTTGAGCAAGATATATCTTAACATCCTTAGAAGAAACATTGACTTGGACAAGGAAAAAAATTCAAACTTAAGTTGTGATAAAGAAAAGGACGTCTTGCTGAAAGATCCACACTTCAGATGCAGAGAGAACCTTTCCATTTATCATCAAGTGTTTGGACAAATGGTATGACAAGCACGGATCTGCCAAAACTGCATCTTACCAAACTTGTATTGATGCTTATGATATGAAATTCGGATATCAATCAATAGTAAAGAGTATGGTCAACGGATATATTCTGATGGTATCTTAAAGGGGGGGATTACATAGTCAGATCCTTGGAGGCTACAACTCTTGTGGATTTCATTGCCTCTGGGATCAGTCTATGATATGCTGGTACCTCCAGCTTGTTGAGATTGGGCCCAGATAGAATCACCAGACTTCCATCTGTATGGAGGAAGAGTTAAACTGGATTCAAGGTGGCACCCCGACAAGGAAGACCCTTGTCAAGACAATTGAAACCGGTAGAATTTTAATCGGCGTTCTGTTGTATTTTATTATTTATTAAAATGGAAATAACGAACAGTATTCAAGGTCATAAGTCCAAACAATACAAATCAGGATCAGAGCAAACACAGATCTCTAAAACATCAGGTGGGATCAGGTGCCATGAAGGGTTGAGCATCCCATTTCGACCGCTCACACCCGCGTGTGCCCCTTGTCTCGATCGGGAAAAACGAGAGAAAAAAAATCCTTTGAAATTTTAGTTTGTAAATAATGGCCTACCAATTAGTATGAAGAACTTCGGTCAGCATTGCACTTAATGATAAATTGTATTTGCTAACAAGGTCATTGTGTCATTCATAGAACTTTCGAAATGAAGACTTAAATCGACACGATTGATATTCCTGTTTTAGATCTTGTTTGTAAATAGCTTGCATCGTTTGAGAATTTGTTGGTACAGAGAGCATGCTCTTGCGTATGAAATGAACTGAGAGGCATAAACTCCTTAAGCATGTGATGAGGGTATATTGCTATACATAGGCAAGGGAAGTTAACGATTAAAACACTGGAGTCATCATTTTTATTAAATAGCTTTGTTGTGAGGTTATCATTCATAAAGTTCTTTTCTAGTAAAATATCCAAATATAAAAGAGATGATTCTGACTATGTGGTATCTTTTATTTCAAGCTTACTGGGATATATATCGGGTCGACGAATGAATGGAAGTAACTATTGTTAATTGATAATACTAGTACGTCGTCGATGTATCTAAAATTAATGTCGAGTTGAAGGTAATTAATTTTCCAGTGTATTCTATGGGGACAGGAATTGCATGTATCAACAAGCCATTCGAGAAAATATATCACTTTAATTCAATCTCATGACGGACAGTTTTCCACAGAAGTGGGCCAGTCCATGACTCATGGCGGTGAGATCCGCCATGGACACGGCGGTGAAGGAACCGTTGGAATCGATGAGGTCAATGGCGGTCTTCTACAAAGGACAAGACAAACAGCATGAGTACATATGAGATCAAAACATATCTGAATATAGGTGAAAACAATTCCCCTGTGACCTCTATAAAAATAGAGTATTTAAAAAAATCTTTTTCCTTTTGATACTTTTTTCCCCCTCTTTTATATATTGATTTGATTGACCTAATTTTAATTAAATTGAACAATCCTCTCTCTGTTTAACATTGACCAAAAATTCCATCATTTTTATGATTCTTTACTCAAGAGCTGAACAATTAAATGATGCTGCAGGCTGCACAACCTCTTAACTTTCTCGAATAAACGTCTGGTGCAAATAAGTTCAAAATTTCTAGCTACATGTAACAATTAACTAATATGCGTAAATCTGTAACGTTTTAATTTTGTTTTACTGCAGTGCATTTAGCATTATTCCCAGTTTAAAACATTCCAATTGGCAACCAAACTTTTCCATCTTTTCCGCCCCAGGAATATCCAAGAGATCGTGTTAAATGCCCTGTTCAAAGATTTTTATTTTTGGTATATTTTCGGCAATTAAAAATCGCGAATGAATTTTAGCTGCGTGACAAGCTCGTAAAAAAGAAGCCCACCCCTTCCCCGTTCTTTTGAATATGTATAATATTTTGCTATAATAAATACTGATTTAGATGCCGGTTGCTGCTCTTTTTCTGTTGGTGGTGTAGCACTGGAAAATTCATGGATGTAAAAGAAAATGTACCAAAATTTAAGAGACCCCCCTTTACCTCAATGGAATGAAGTCCAGTAGATGTGTGGACGCTGGTTTGTTCATCTGCTGACAGCATGTACAGGTAACACATCTTATGGGTTTTTACTCCCAATGTGTGCTATAAAACATATTATAAATTTATCATTGAGTGAAATGATGACTGATACTAATTGTTAGTCCATTATTTATACACTGAATTGACGATGGATTTTTCCCCGTTATCATGACAAGGAGCACACGGAGAGTGTGACCGGTCGGCAGGAGATGCTCACTCCTCCATGGCACCTAGTCCCACCTCTGATGTTTTGGAGGTCCTTATTTTCTCTGCTCCTATTTTGTATTGTTTTATGGACTTTTGATCTGGAACAATGTTCTTTATCTCTATATGTTTCATAAAAACGTTTTAAGATTTCTTCACCGGTCAGTATCCTTCCATAAAAGAAGAATAAAAATCCCGTCAAAAATAAAAAAAAAATGGAATACTCAGAGAAAAAAAAACATAACAAGGTAGCAGTAAGAATAAAGATTTTTTTACCGTGTGTGCATCATATCGAAACATGAAGCTTTCGTTGATGTTGGGTTCGTGAGTGGGTCCGGTGTGATGCCCATGATGACCGTGCCCATGGTGTTTAGTTGTCATGCCCATTGCCTTGTGTAAATAAAATGTCAAAGTAATAAAATTTTAAGATATTTGTTAATTGTTGATGTTACTCGACATATAAAGAATTCAGTGTTGTATGATTTGGGAAAAGCTGAAAAAGTAAATAGTTTTATATTTATTATTTTATGCAAAAAGAATTGTGTGCGTTGACAATACTGTATATGTACATGCTAATGTTGTTGTGCAAATATGTAGAACATGTCTCTCTTTTACAGCTCGACTGGGCGAAGATGAAATGTGCGTATTTCACATATAAAACAGGATGCATAATTTTGTGTTTGCCAAAAAAAAAAAAAATCTGTTCCGATCAGATTTGAATGCAATTTTTTTCATTCCAAATATGGAATTAATTCTCTTTGCATATATACATGTGCATATGTGTACCTTTCAAATCCATCACGCTGTTCTTGATTTTTTTCTTTATGTTAATTTGCAGAGAAAATAGGACAACTGTAAGAAAAGTGCTTGTGCAAATATATATTTCTTTAAAAAAAATAAACTCTTTGCCTACATTTATATAACTTTAGACATGTCCGAAATGTGTAAATTCTTACCACAGAGGCAAGGCAAGCTACGAAAACAACAGAGATCATCATCTTGTGTATGGTTCTAAATATTCTGTCCAATAAGTCCGTTAGCAAGGGTTTTATAAGTATTGGGCATCATCTTATCTCTCTGTTGTCACGGCCTTTCTTTATATCGGGCACAAAGAAATGTCAAACAATGGGCACTTAGATCTCACATAATGTACTTATTATTCTTATTATATAAATTTAATGAAATGTGAACTTTTCGTGACGTCTATGAAGTCTTCCCATTTCACAGCTATAAAAAACTACATGTTGAAATGAATACAAACATCTTTTTATATAAACCTGACATTTCAACACAAAACAATTTTTTTTAATAATTTGTGCAAAAAATGGGTCCTCAATCATTTCAGAACTAAAATTTAATATTTTGGTCAAATAAGCAGACTGTGCTGTAGATACATGTCATTGACAGTTATATGTCACCTAGAGTGCTTTTTTTAAATGTGGTGAATTTTTTGTATATACGCATTAATTATTTATTAATCATAGTACTCGCATTGTCATCTATAATACAGAGTTCAAGTGAAAAGAGGTGCTGCAGTTATCTATTTAAATCATTGCTCAAGCAAGTACACATATTTGCCAAGTGTTTCATAACAATTGCAAGATTCTTATCACCAGAACCATGAGAATACTCCGAACAATTGGAATGCAATTGCTCGACAATATCTATATGGATTTTGGAATCCAGGTCTTCCAGCAATCTATTGGAATTCACATGGAAACCAATTGCGCCCCGTTATTAGCAGAATTTTTTGTATTCATATAGAAGAAATATATATATAAATTCATATGATGCAGAATTTGTCCAAAATCTTATACACTTATACACTGAACGTGAAAAGAAGACAACACTTGCTCTGGTCTTCAATTTGAGTTTAAGATATATCGAGGACCTATTGTCAATTAACAATGGTTATTTCCATTCTTATGTCAACACGATATATTCCGATGAGCTGGAAATAAAAGATACCACAGTCACATCTTTTTCATATTTGGATATTTTACTTGAAAAAGACGATAATGGTAATTTAACAACCAAGCTTTATGATAAAGGTAATGACTTTAACTTTTTAATTGTCAACTTACCTAAGCTATGCATCAATTTACCTTCATCAACCGCATAGAGCTTTATGTCTGTCGCGTTCGATACGCATTTCTAAAACGAAGTAAGTTATTGACAACCAAGTTGATGAAACAAAAATAGCAGTCTCGTTTAAAGTCATCATTCTGTAAATTCTATAGTCGATACAATGACCTTGTCAGCAAATACAATTTATCATAAAGTCAAATGCTGATTGACGTTTATCATTCTAAGTTTATTTACACACTGGATTGTCGACGTATTTTCCGTTATTTCCCGTTCATGACATGGAGTGCGCGGCGGTTGTGACCGGTAGGCAGGGAATGCCTACTCCTCCATGGCACTTGATCCCACCTCTGATATTTTGGAGGTCCGTGATTGCTCTGCTGAACTTTGTATTGTTGTATGGGCCTTTGAGCTTGAATACTGTTCTTTTTCTTTCTCCCATGCATTTTAGTAAATTCGAATTAATATACTGGATTCCTTAACTAAATAAAAATCCTTACAAATTAAGGTACATGTACATGCCCCAGAAAATGTTTTGGGAAGTTTCTAGTATGCCGGTCCCCAGAATCACGCGACTGCGCATGAGCGGTTATTTCCCTTGCCGTTGCTATGCAGATCGTAAACAAACCGCCATTTTCTCATCGCTTCAACAAAACTCGTATGATCGAGTGATTTGGGTAATAATAAAATACCGCTATCAAAAAAATTAAAAATCTACTTACCTTAGATATCAAAATCATCCATGCTGTCATTTATATTTAGAGACAAAATAGGTTGTAGCACTTGGCGTTGTTTCTTGGGCGATGTAGGTTGTGATTTGTCGCAAGTAAGCCGCGGGATGAGAATTTGGGGGTTGTACACGGATTTGATAAGCTCTAAAAATTTTAGGAATGGGTCGGGGGAGTCTTTTAAGTATTTTTTACGTATACAATACTGACTGAAATAAGTGTCATACAGAGATTTTACAGTTCCGCTTACTGGCAATGATTTTTTCAGTGCTCTCCAGGTTGACTCGATTGTGTTAGTATGCGCACCAGTGGTAGGGTCAACAAAATGTAGGGAATGGTTAACTTTTAAGTGATTAAATCCCTCCTGGTCAAGAATGTCATATGCTTTCCAGCAGTCAGATATGATGGTAGTTCCTGGCAAAATATTCTGTTTAATAATGTTCAGTAATGTTTCTCTGGAAGGATCGGTCACCGTAGTAAAAAAACACTTCTTTGATCCTCTCTCTATCCCTCCAAACACCCACACACCTTCAACTTTTCGTCCTTTATGAAATTTCCTCTTTCCAAATTTACTCTCGTCTATCTCCACAACCTTCCCCTCTCCTCCTATTTTTTCCGATTCTTTTTTCCAAAACACAGGTACAAACCTCCCGCGAGAAATTATACCAGTCCACAATGGTTTGGCTAGCGATGTCAAGTTCGTGTCTGACGAATAATTCACATACTTTGTGCACCCAAAAAAAGGTTATTAAGAGAATTTTTTCCAGAGTTAATCTATGATTTTCGAACCAACTCCCCACTCTTACGGACACTTTCTTATGACACTTTTTATTAGAACATCTCCAAACGTGTTCGTCGCTGGAATAACTGGAATCCTTCCTCAATCCAAATTTTCCCGTCTCACAACTTTTACATACTTCACCATTTAAATCATCCAATTAACCACTGAATTAAACCAGCCAAATCGGCGCTTTTCTGGTAAATATCCTTTAACTTCACTGGCATTTCACACAATCAGTTGTTTTTGTTTACAAATTACGTCACGCAAGTATACCAGTGACGAAAAATCATGAATATTCATTAATTTCTACAGAACGCGCTCGGCACAACATTCGATGTTGACAACATAAAAAGTCTATTTTACAAGAGGCCTGTAGTTTTATTTCTGGATTGTGTTTTACTTCAAATTTAAAAAAACTGTGTTAAAAAACCAGTTTTTTAAACCTCATTTTTACAAATCATTTTTGGGCTTATTTTGACGATTTTTGGCTTTTTTATCGATTTTATCGATCGCTCACGCGATCGCTCTATAATAATACACCGCCTTCGGCGGCACCCATTTTAGCGCCATATTTATGGGGACCGGTATACTAGAAGTGTTCCGTGCAATTTTAACAATATATTCAAGAAAATGTGTAAGTCATATGTGGATCACTAAAAACTCAAAGGAACTTGCAAAATTATCTATTTTGTTTTTAGTTCTTGTGGCCCGTTATTTGCAAACCATTTTATGGAATTCATCTGAGTAAAATTTATTGAAGGTTTCTTGCTGTAGCATTCAAATCAACCTTTAATTATTAGACGACATTTTGTCAATTGACAATATTCATTTTTATTCCAATATTGATTCAATATATCCCCTAGAACTAAAAAAAAATGATACCACAGAGTCTGGCACATCTGCTTTGGTTTTGAATATTTGAGAAGAAATATACCTTTTTGGTAACCCAACCCAAAATCTTTATATGAAACATGATGACTTCAATTTTTCTATCTTAAACTTCCCATATCAAAGTTATTATGTGATCTTACATGTAGCATTTTTTATTAAGTTTATGTCAATTTTGATTCGATACACAAGAGCTTGTTCTATCTACGAAATATGGCTTAAAGGAAACATGCAATTGTCAAAAAAGTCATGAAACAAGAATGTCAAAACTCTCATTTAAAGTCAGCATATCGCACACAAAATTTATGGTCGATCCATTGACTAAGTTATCAAATACAATCTTTCACCAATTCAAATGACTGGCGTTTTTATTATACAAAATTTACATACTGAATTGTCTATTGGTTTGTTCGATCATGACAAGGGAGCATACAGTGGGTGTAACCGGTCAACAGGTGATGCTTTCTCTTTCATTTTACTTGATCCCACATTCGATGTGATGGTTACTCTTTCATGGTACTTGATCCCCACATTTGATATTTTTAGATTAGTGTTCGATGTGCTCCCAATGTATAGAGTGTTCGATGTGCTCCCAATGTATAGAGTTGCGATCGACTTTTGAGCCCGACAACTATTTGGTTTCTCCATTTTTGATCAAAATCATTTTATACTTACACAAACAGGAATTGTATTTTAGATACTGGCGATCAGTAAATACACATATTTTGCAGTGCAAATATTTGCGTGTGAAACAATTATAAACGCTTTCAACAGTGAAATTATGCACTACATATACACCCAGATGTAAATCTCCCCTCTTTATGAAGAAGAATTTAGACAAACCGATATATGATTTATGAATTTAATTCAATCTCAAGGCGGACAGCTTTCCACAGAAGTGGGCCAGTCCATGACTCATGGCGGTGAGATCCCCTGAGGAGACGGCCGTGGTGGCAGTGTTAGCGTCGATGAGGTCAATGACGGTCTTCTACAAAGGAAAAGGCAGACAACGTGAGGATTCAAAGATTTGTGGGGCGGCATCGCAATTTGAGGCATTAATATTGCTTTATTTATTGCGTTAACATTGATTGGTTTTCAGCACCATCCATCAGACATTATGGTTTGGTGCATTCAAGCGGACTTAGGAGTCTTACGTATATATGCTTATAACAGAAAAAGTGATCAAAATTTAAGTAGAATATTCCAAGTGCAAAACAAATATTTAAAAGTAAAACATGAATATACTTATTTCAATAATTTTTTAAAACTATAAACAAGAGTACCTCTGATAAAATTCAGTTACGGGGTACACCATTCTACATATGACTGCTGATCATTCAGACATGAATCTGACCTCTTCTTTGTGGGTAGATTTATTTATATGACATTGAGTGAAGTCCTGTTGAAAAATCTTAAAGGTCAATGTAACTTACCTCGATGGCATGAAGTCCGGTTGATGAGTGGACACTGGTTTGTTCATCTGCTGACAGCATATACAGGTAACAGTTTTTGTGGGTTTTTACTCCCAGTGAGTGCTGCAACAAGTTACATTTTCAGTACTTATTTGAAAGTTATCAGAGAGAGAGAGAGAGAGAGAGAATCTGTTAGAATTTTCTCAGTTACCCGAAATTAAATGACGAGGAAAACACGGTGCGTTCTATACTCCTCCAGGGCACCTAATCACATCTTTGATGTTTTAAAAAGGCTGATTTTACTATGCTCGCAAATCATATCATTTTTCAGATTTTTCTAGCATGGTTTCATTCGTTTATCTTAAAATTTCAAAACAAATACCAGAACAATTAATGATAGCAAAAAGAAGAATGTGGTAATAAGATTTTACCGTGTGTGCATCGTAGTGGAACATGAAACTCTCGTTGATGTTTGGTTCGTGTGTTGGCCCAGTGTGATGCCCATGATGATGTGTAACGTGCCCATGATGCCCATGATGTTTAGTTGTCATGCCCATTGCCTGGTTAAGAATATAAAATAACAATTTCTAAGGTTGTAAGATTGATACTAAATACTGGTAGTACATTTACACGAGAAAAAATCATTTTACAGCAAAAATTAACCAACTGCTGCACCGAAAGAGGACTGAAAAGACTCGTGAACAAAATCATTAACTATAAAAAATATTTCAAGGTCTTGAATTTATTAATCAAGAAAATACCATAATTATGGTAACTACATGCAGTCGTTTCATAATTAAGCAGAAAACATACTTATTACAAAGGCTTGGGTTTAAACCATCCGACCTTTGGAGATGAAAAAAGGTATATTTATAATTGGGAGTTCTTTTTCAATGGTGATAGAGATTTGGAAACCTTTGTTATCTTATTGTCTCCCAAAGGTAACAGTTTAAATGCATCTTAAATTATATAAATCCAATGCAAGGAAAAGAAATATAGAAAGAATATCGATGGCTTTAATTGGGTTTGTGTTGCGTTTAGGACCGTCAAAAATGAATTTTTGACTAGTCATCTCGTTGTTTGTTAGCAACATCAAACGCTTTCGGGAAAATGTTTCAATGCTTTAACTTTTCTTGAAATTCTTTGCTTAGTAACAACTTGCACAATTGTAACAGTAAGTGTAATCTTACCACAGAGGCAAGGCAAGCCACGAAGACAACCGAGATCATCATTTTGTGTATGGACTAATGTTATGTACAGTAAAAGAATCAAGAGGTCTAGGGTTTTATAAGAAATGTGCACAATCTTATCTCTCTTATATCACGTTTCTTGTATTTGGGACACATGAAAAGTCAAATTAGGTGCAGTTAGATCTCTCATAATATATATACTTATCGTTCTATAAAAACATTGAAATGTGAAAAAATGAGAACCTAATTTTGTACAATACAATATTTATCAAGGTCTTCACAATGCGACCCCCACATTAGATTCGACCAATTCCCGAGAACAGCACAAATGGTTATCTTTGTCATCTGGTTCTAACCAGTAGATATCTGGATCTGACCAGTTATATGTGGTCACGCTGGTTTTATGTCAAAGAATTAATTATCCCATAAGATTCATTATCAACTACCTTCATGTAGTTTAAATGTTCGGACACACTGTTTTTCTCTCTCATGTACTCCGGATTTGAGAGCTTATGTTTTGATTTATGATTTTAATGAAAAAAATGATTATACCTTTGACAATATTTGGGTATAGCCCAAAAGAGGTAATTGAATGAAATATATGGAGATAACGAACAGTATTCAAGATCAAAAGTTCATAAAACAATACAAAATTGGAACAGACCAAACACGGATCTCCAAAACATCAGAGGTGGAATCAGGTGCCATGGAGGAATGATCACCCCTGCCTACCGGTCACACCAGCTGTGTGCTCCTTGTCATGATCGTGAAATAACGGAAAAATCTTTCGTCATTTCAGTGTGTAAATAATGGCCTAACAGTATGTATGGAAACTGTCAGTCAGTATTCTACTCACAGATAAATTGTATTTGCTGACAAGGTCATTGTATTGACCATAGAACTTACGAAATTATGACTTTGAAAAAGACTGCTGATATTCTTGCTACATCAACTTGTTTGTAAATAATTTACCTTGTTTTAGAAATTGTACACATCAATTAAGAGATACAAACCCTGTATCAAGAGATGACATATTGCTGCATAAGTAAGGGAAGTTGATGATTTAAAAGTTAAAGTCATCACGTTTATCATAGAGCTAGGTAGTTAGATTACCATAAACGTCTTTTTCTAGTGATACATGTATATCCAAATATGAAACAGATGAATCAGACCCTGTGGTATCTATGATCTCAAGCTCACTGGGATATATGGTATCTACATAAGAATGTAAATAACCTTTTTTAATTGACAATACGTCGACGATATATCTAAATGTCGAGTTGAAAAGTGTTGAAGGCCAAAGCAAGTGTTTTCTTCTTTTCACGCATAAGATCACGGACAAATTCGGCTTCATTTCCATAAAAAAATAGGTATTCTAATAGCGAGTCGCAATTGGTACCTATGGGAATTTCAATAGAATGTTGGAAGACCTGGCCTCAAGACCATAAACTGAGAACAGACTGAAGTCAAAATTTAGATTTCTGATATCTTAAGTAACTTATTTGCTTAAAAATTTGCAGTTCTATATATCATCACTCAAACTATGTTGAAAAGGAGATGGGTAAATTTAGCGTGCAGAAAGCCCACTAGCTTCAGACATATAAAAATCTTATTCAAATTGTGAACTTAGTATTTAGAGTACAGTTCTTATCATTGTTTTTTATGAAATCATGATAAACAAAATGTTTTGAGGAAATTTTTCTATTAAAAATTATTCTTTTTTTAACAAAAAATAATGTGGTATCCATTGGGTTCGAACCCTGGCAATAAAAATCCTGAGTTGCATTCTCTATTGAGACTAGCACGCTAACTACTACGTACGCAAGTCCTGATGAAGTGTGGCATTTAAATCATGTTTGTGATATGACCATTGACTTAAGGGACTTCAAGTATTTCTTGAAAAGATACGAAAGTTTTGTCGTAAAATTATATTTTAAGGTATAGTGGGTCTTTGCTCCATAATTTTGGAAACCAACATATGTTTGTATACAAACTTTGAGGATTAACTCTCAAAAAAATAGAGAGAAGACCCACTCATATCGAAAAATAGTGTTATAGTGTGAAAAAATGACTCGTTTTGTCCTCTTTCGTGTGTGTACAGTATTTCATAAGCAAATAATTTCAACCTTCATGAAATTTGTGCAAGTTGTAGAGATTTTACATAAAGTATAATTTAATGTTAGATGAAATATTAAGGAAAATTTTGATATAATCAGATTTATCCCTAAAAGATAAATACAGTTATTGAGAAGGCCGTTTATGGCTTTGTTTTTTGAGATTATAAATAGCTACAAAGTGCAAACCGTTTTCCGGAATTATGCGGTTCTATCGTTACGGTTCTAGGGTCAATAATACTTGAGCTTTGATGCGCATGTGCTTGGTCTTTTCAACTTCCCATCTTGTTCAGTGCAGACGAAATCAATGGTGTTAAGAAAAATAATCAAGTGTCATCGGCAAGTATTTTATCAATCGAAGAAATTTAAGTATGAAAATAGCGTAAAGTTATCATGTTTATTCATGTCGTATGAATTTGTTTAAAATCTATCGACTAATTCTTCAAAAAATGGTCATGTAAAACAAGAAAATTTTACTTTCAATTCTTGTTTCAATGAATGCATGTTTAAATATCAATAATAAGCATGATAAGTAATAAGAAAAATTCTGTCGGTTTTATAATTATTTGCAAGAACGATGTTATTGACTTGAGAGTGATGGTTCCTCAAGGAGAGGCAATATGAAATCGCTTTAGGCCAGACCCCTGCACGTGTAGCAAGACCCTCGGATAAATAATTTATTTATATGGTATAATTACACAATATCACCATTTATAGAAAAAACAAGGAAATTCGGATTAAAAGATGACGACACTATTGCAATGTTTTTAAACATATGTTGTAACTGTAACTTTGTTAAATGAGTTGGATATCTATATATAAAATTACAGACAATATTGCTTTTTTTTTTCTTCAAGATAATTAAATGTAAAACCATTGTTTACCAATTGGGTCAGGAATAAAACTTCCAAATTAAATTTTAAAAAAATATTTTCAATTTGGCATGGGGCCTAATTTCAGCATATGAGAAGGTACTGATAAATCCCTGCATACTCTTACAACAAGGAAAAATTTTGGAACATTAATGATTATATATTTCTTGCTAAGTTAATATTGCAGTTGGATCCAGCAGATGAAATTATAATGCAGTTATATCTAGCTGATTAAATTAAGCAACTGCTTGTGTTTAAAGATTGAAGAAATTAATGTGTTCAAGGCATTATATGTATATCAGTCTAATAAGGCTAGGGGCTTCAGTCAACAACATTTGGTGGGAGAATTTGACATTCACTTTAGATTTAGGCGTTCAATAAACAGTATGATGTAGTTTTGTTTGGAAAACCTAAACACTTGCCCTACCCAATTTTTGCTTGCCCTGCTATAAACTATAATACTGTATTTATATTTATAAATATTTTTTAAGAAGAGAGACAAATATTGAGTACAATATGCAAGTCACTATGACCAGCTTTATATCTGTCTTACATATTGATTTGAATTTTGAGTCACTTGCCCTCGGGCAAATGGATAAAATTTCACTTGCCCACCATTACAATTCACTAGCCCCCAGGCGAATTTGTGCTTTCCTGTAAGGGCGAGTCGCATTGTCTTTCATCAATTAGATATCAATCCCAATCTGACACCCAGTTTATAAAGGCCTCTTAGGCAATAATGACCCATGGCCTCCCCATATTTTGGATGTAGGTTTCATTCCAATCAATGTTACAAATTTTACATGATTTATATTCAGTTCTCATTGAACTATGATGGTCCATCAGGGTGGGTTTTAATATCTTGCAAAAATATGGTTTCAGCATTGGAACATAAAGATGAATTATTTGCTAAACTGAACAAAGAAATTGATGAACTAGAGAGCATAATAATGGGTCCATTTGATGCCCCACCATTTCAAAGTTGGAGGTAATCACCAATATATCTGCTCCACATGGAAAGAGTATAACTTTATGAATTCGTTAATCCCAAAATTTCCTCAATTAATTATTTATCTTCCAGACAAGCTGTAAGCATATATAGTACAAAAACTTATATACATTTTATATGGTACAAATTATGCATAACTATGGAAAATGGATATTTCAAATGAGTTCAGGTTGTTACCAGTCATACCTGAAATTTTTGTCTTCTTGGTTTTAAATGTTTGTTAAATATGATGTTCACAAATGTTACTGATGGATTGTGCCATATTAAATATTGTTTGCATTAATTATTTCAAAAAAAAAAATCCAGTTTTTTACAAGGGGTGAAAGAGTATAGCATCAACTTTAAAAATGTTTTTCATTACTACATGATTTTATTATTTGCTAGAGCTCATGGTACAAACAAAGGTAAAATTTTATTATTTCCTTTCAAAATATTTCATATTCATGTTCATATTTCAGAGGTAAATTCTAGTCCAACAACATACATAGTGTTCTTAGGTTTAGGTATAAAGTCGGTAATCATTCAATTTACAAAAAGAAATACTTGAAATTCAGTGGAAATCTTAGATTACATTAAGGCGGCTTCGGTCTTTCAGTCTTGGCTCATTAGGCTAAGCTTTAGTTACAAAGGCCTTGCCGGCAGGTAGAATTTTACATGTTGATTAAATCATATGGTTAAATGTTTGGTGTTACTAATAGTCGCATCACTTGGTAAGGCTTTCCAGAGAAATGCATAGTGATCTTCAAATCTGGTTAACATTTCTTAGTGAAGTTAATAGTTCTACACTATTTCCAGAGTCAGAATGGGAATCCTAAAAAGATGTATAATTTCATTCAGACGGCTTAGGTTCAATGGTTTGTGGTGTCAGTTTTGAAACTTTCTGGTTTTATCTTCGTTGGTCACAGGATTAGAATGTTGATACAAGAAAAGACATAATAACCTTTTCAGAGTTTGGCGTTAAGTTAAGGATTTTACTTGTTGTCAGACAAATTACAAACCAGGTAATTGATATTGCATGTTGACATAATACTATAATAGCTTTGATTGAAATCTTAAATAGGAAAACATTTAAGATTAAATGGGTTAAGATTTTCATGAGAGCATTAGTATTGCTTTCTTTGAAGTTTACTATTCAGTTTAAAGCAGTTCATTTAAGCAGTATAAGTGAGATAGCAGATTCAATTTCTCAATTCCAGTGGAACAGATTCAGGCAGCTGGCACCTTGGGTAGATTTAATGTTATCCTTATCAAGTACTTATTTAATTTTGGAACCTTTTGGAGGACTGTGCATGCAATTCAATCATTTGATTGAAGTTAGCTTTTTGAACGTCACAAAAATTGCATATGTCAAAGCCATAGTTGTTTTCATGACTTTAGATTACGATTTTACTTGCCTTCATTTTGGCCACCTCCAGTAGATCATCCAGTCAACTCCTTCATTGTGTAAAATTCTGACAGGTTTAAGAAGATTTAAATGTTCAAATGACATCAGAGGTCCTTTAACATGCCTTCTTTTACTAAAAAGTTTTATTGTTTTATCAATGGGAACACATTCAAAATACACATGTACGAGCATAATTTACCATTATTATCGGTCTACATTTGCCACTGCAATTTTTGATCAAATCAAATGAGAGTCTAAGAAATGCACTTCATCTTACTGAAGTTTTAAATCTACAGTAAGTTGTGAAAATATCAGATTGAAGTTGTGTCTTTCTAAAACAGATCAGAATGGAAAGGTTTAGTTTATAGTTATCACTATCAGCATATCAGACTTGGAGTTGACTGTGTGTTTTAGTTTATAGGAAACTTTCTTGCAATTAACAGGATGACCATTTATTTTGCCATATCAATGGTTAGGTACATGAACATCTTAATCAGCACACCAGATTTGAAGTATTTTGATTGTACAAGAATTGAGATTTTTAGGTATTGAAATAGAAACTTTCAAAACACTCTCTTTTAAAATTGGGGTGCTACTCATATGTATTTGCCAGGCATGTCTGAACAAAAAATTAAAAAAAAAAGAAAAAAAAAAAGGTAAGATGGGTGTTAGATGCATTATCTCAGAATTGAGTTGTTACATTTTAGATGTAAATAATAACATTATTAATGACGGTTACATCATTGCCATTGTGATCATGTCATGAACAATGTTGGCTGCTTTTCTGCTCTGGTAATGTAATGGCATTGTTTGGCCATCAAAGTGATGAGTCTACGAATTTTGGGATTTGGAACTGTTGTGGCTTTATGAAGATGATGTAAAAAAAACGTGTTTGTGTATATGTGTAATTTGTGAATGATATTGACTTGTCAAAATTCGGCCGCTTCGATGGCGGTTGGATTTCATTATGTTTGAAATCCAATTGGCGCAATTTTGACAAGTAACCATTTGCTGAGGGTGATTCTGTTATCTCCAGGTCCCCCAGCTATGATATGGTTTGTTTGATATTTGTGAATGCTATGCTGCCAAAATGCTTACCAGTTGTAAGATCGGCGCATAGGTTATGAACATGCCAGTTGCATGTTGCTGATGTTTGAATGAACATGCCAGTTGCATGTTATCTGTGAATGTAATTTGTAATAAAAGCCATGACAGTTCCGCCAATACAGTAAATTTTTGTTGTTCTTCAAATTCTATCAGCTAGAATAATGTGTTTTTCATTAGAAAATTTCAAAGGCTTTGATTATCAACCTTTATTGAATAGTTCTTGTTAGTATTAGGCATTTCGAAATAATCAGATTTATCCCTAAAAGATAAATACAGTTATTGAGAAGGCCGTTTATGGCTTTGTTTTTTGAGATTATAAATAGCTACAAAGTGCAAACCGTTTTCCGGAATTATGCGGTTCTATCGTTACGGTTCTAGGGTCAATAATACTTGAGCTTTGATGCGCATGTGCTTGGTCTTTTCAACTTCCCATCTTGTTCAGTGCAGACGAAATCCCCTCCCTTCCCTCCCTTAAATACTAGGGTTGGTCTGAATACTAGTATTTAAATGTATTTACTATTCAATGAATTCTTTCTGCTCCTTTTTCTGCTGTGTGTTTTCTTTCAATTTCAGAAATCGTCATGACTTGTACATGTACACCTATGAAGAAGGCCATCATGGACTTTGCTGTGAGAATGTGATAATCCTGACTGTCAAGTTACAATTTCAGAAATCGTCGTGGCTTATACACTGTCAGATGAAGAAAGTTATGGACTTCTATTTGCTGTGTGAATGTGATAATCCTGACTGTAGTGTTATGTGACATTTTCAGTAATCGTCGTGGCTTATTCGCTGATGAAGAAAGCTATGGACTATGCTTTGTGAATGTGATTATCCTGACCTTTTCGTGTTAGCGCAATTTTGACAAGTAACCATTTGCTGAGGGTGATACTGTTATCTCCAGGTCCCCCAGCTATGATATGGTTTGTTTGATATTTGTGAATGCTATGCTGCCAAAATGCTTACCAGTTGTAAGATCGGCGCATAGGTTATGAACATGCCAGTTGCATGTTGCTGATGTTTGAATGAACATGCCAGTTGCATGTTATCTGTGAATGTAATTTGTAATAAAAGCCATGACAGTTCCGCCAATACAGTAAATTTTTGTTGTTCTTCAAATTCTATCAGCTAGAATAATGTGTTTTTCATTAGAAAATTTCAAAGGCTTTGATTATCAACCTTTATTGAATAGTTCTTGTCAGTATTAGGCATTTCGAAATAATTGAGATTTAATTTTTCACCTTCATATTTGTTGCGCTGTGGGCTTATCTCACGTCATGTTCACCCATGTCCTTTTATTTCATTATCGAAATTATAGCAAAAGTTATATTGTTTCGAAATTTTGACTTAAGTCTGTCCTCAGTTTATGGTCTTTGGGCCTGGTCTCCAAAAACCATAATCATAGATATTTTCAATCAAAAAGCATCTTTTTGAAGTCAACTACAGAGTACTTGTGTGTACAATCAGAATGTTTTTAACAAAATAATTTTGCAAATGACCAATGGCGAGGTAAGTAAATTTACGAGTTCCACTTTAATTGAAAAAGCAGCTGTCAATGATATCAAAAAGCCTGGACTTTAATTTATCGTGAGGAATGGTTGTATATAAAGTTGAAAAGTCTAAGTTTTTCAGCTGTTGATTTTGGTAAAATCTCGTGATTTCAAATTTTCCAAAAGATCCTTGGAATTTTAAGTATCCATATCTGATTTACACCACTTCACAACATTGAACAAGAATTTAAAAAATGAATGCAACAGAAATAGGAAACCAGTTAAGAAGTATAATGTCTAAATATTCGGACCTTTCTGAAGAAAATTTTTCAAAAAGCAGGGTAAAGACGGGACTTTCTTCAGAATTTCAAATCTTGAAGCAAATTTTATCATTTCTTGACTTTATTTCTTGTTGTTTGTTTAACTTCCTTTTGGGAAATTTTTACTCGTACTGAGACACTACCACTTGCCGGCGGAGTGCTGCAAATAATAATAATAAGACCTACATTCAGCGCTCATGGCTTCTGGGCAGTGAGGGATCTTTTACTTGCCAGCATCTACAGCAACAAGGAACCTCGTTATACGGTCTCACCTGAATGATAGATTACCACGTACCGCAGTGGGATTCGATCTCGTTAAGTAAGAATTAACTACCTTTTCTGCGACTTTAGAGGAAACGTTCTAACCACTGCACCAGAAGGGCAACCAGTTCTTGTAAAATTAGGCAAAATGGGAACAGTGCACTATGGATTCAAAGTTATCTTTACCAGACAGATTTGTTATCGATCGTTTGTTATATATAGCCTTGGGTTCAAATTTTATCATTTGAAGAATTAAAGAAAACTTCATCAGATATTTCATATTATAAAATTTGTCTGAAGAAAAGAATATTGTAAACACAAAGAAATTGAATTCAACATTTGTTGTGAATTTTATTTTTTAAATTTTATACTGCAAGTCAAAAACTATGCACTTACGACTTTTGCCACTTGAATAGTAAACTATATAAATGATGCAATGTTTCAGTAAAAGATTTGTGATTGTTATGGAGGTAGCATTTTTAAGTGTCTGCGTTTATTTATGCTACATTTTCGAATGTCTGTTTTTTCTGGACTTTTCTAGTCCTATGACAAACATCGCTTTGTTGATAATTTTTCCTTTTGTCTTTGTCTCAAAATAGAGATGCTGGGGGTTTTCACCCTGCCATGTGTGAATATCGATGATCTCCCCTTCTATAGCGTCCCCAAGGTATTCGATGTCCATTTCAAGGATAGGGTACCAGCAAATATCGTCTTTGAAGTGACGATAGAAGCCAGCATTTATGGCATTGGTGGCACAATCGGTGCAGTATTTACTGTACATTACGTGTGTTATATGTTGTAAGCTATCCGTATCACTGAAAGGAACACGAAGAGACAAGGTATAAATAGGAATATCATTTGTTCTATCAGGGAAGACCGTCGTGTTCTGCCATATTTCAGAAGGACTACGATAGATATCCTCCAGTTCCTCTCTCATTTCACGGGATAACTCCGTCGATTGTTTCTTTTCCCAGTTGATTTTCACAATTCGTGTAAAATTTTCAGCAAAAACTTCACTGGACCCAGAGAAATCATCGTAAAGTTCGTTGTGTACTGTAAATGAGGAATTGCCAATTTCTACCATTTTATATGTTATTTTAGGTAGAAAACGAGAAAAAAGACTAATGTTGTCGTGAATCTTTTGACTAAGCTTAAACGTCTGTCTTCGAACTACATATGCAAAAGCGAAAGTTCCTTTCGTGTCACGCAAGAAGAAATTAGTTTTATGAGAAACCGTTCGTCTGCAAGCTTCGAACATGCGTGCAATGTTCCATATACCCCAATGACCTAAAATGTAAATGACATTGATAAATTTCAGGATGTTTTATTCGGTTAGAACAAAATTATGCTATTGAATTGTCTGTGCATTTCTTACCAGTTCGATCGAAATCTGCATATGGGATTCCGTGGCAATAGAACTCTCCGTCCCTTCTCGTGACATTTTTCAAAGTGATGAACTGCATGCTTGGAGTTTCTACAATATCAAATACAAACGTAATATTTATTTATTTTTTCGCTTAGCATATTTTTCATCATTTCAAGTTCCAAAATTCTATTCCATCCAGCTTAATACAGTGTAATGACATACCCATAGAGGGCACGGTGTAGAATGATAAAAATGTATACAAAATGTGATTCAAGCACCCTATTAGAACTTACTAATGCATAAAGAAAAATTCAATCCAGATCTTTCTCTCTTTCTCTCTATTGCCCAGAAATTTCACAGTGGAGATAAGTTCAAAATGAACCACACCAAACAATAATATCTGTTTTTAATGATACAAGAATGATAATTGGTTTTGAGGATAAGTTTACTAGTCCCTATTTCATAAAAAAAAATGTCCCGTAAAGTGTCCCATACTAGTATATCGTAATATTTATTGACCTGAGACCGCATGATATCTTTGTTTTCGCAAAGCTTGTTACGGCGATGTTATTTAAAGCAATATTATATACATTAAAAATATTTTTGGTGAGTATAGAGGGGAAAGAAGAAAGAAAAAGACTAAGTGAAAAAGATACCACCATTAAATGATTATTCAAAAGCCTTTTCCTTATAATGAAACCTTGAATTTATTTTATTGCACTTTTTGTCTGATATTCTTTGGAGAAATATTATTTAAAGCTGATGTATACTTTAAATATTAACATAATTTTGTTTTAAAAAGAATGAGAAGCTGTTGTTTATTCTTGAAATTACAAAGAATCTTACCTATATAGTCCTTTAGCCTTTGATCTACGATGAAACAAACGTGTCAAAATGTTCTAAGTCGTAATAACGAGATTGTTTTGTTGAGGTGGTGACATTGAAATTTTTTCTCCTCCAAGAAAACCATGTTTAAAGAAGGCTACATGCAGTACTTATTTAATAATTTAAACTCATTTTTTATATAAATACTTTAGACTATAAAAATCTAATAAATTATCGTAAAAACATGCACTATTTATTTTATTAAATTGAATGTCTTATTGATTTCGGATGTCATAACAAAAAATTCGGAGATCGTCGGACGTTACGTTCAGAAAGCTTTCGACCTCCCCGCTTCTGGTTTTTTTTTTCAATAAGAATTAAACTGAGCTTCAGTAAGTTTTTACCGACCCCTTTATTGTTTGTTTGATACTCAAAATGTCCTTCATCATCTAAAGTTTCGTTACTTCTGCACTCACAAGCATGTTTCGTCTGTTGTTTGTTGTTTTCAAAGAAATTCTGCAAAATTTGGATTTAAAAATGTTGCAAAAACTAATGAGATCATGCTCTACGTATGTACAATTTCTAAAGCGAGGTAAATTATTGACAAGCAAGTTGATGAAACAAGAATATCAGCAGTCTTTTAAAGTCATCATTTCGTAAGTTCTATGGTCGATACAATGACCTTGTTAGCAAATACAATTTATCATTGAGTCAAATGCTGACTGACGTTTTTCATACCAATTGTTAGTCCATTATTTATACACTGAATTGACGACGGATTTTTTCCGTTATTTCCTGATCATGACAAGGAGCACACGGCGGGTGTGACCTGTCAGCAGGGGATGCTCACTCCTCATGGCACCTGATCCCACCTCTGATGTTTCGGGGGTCCGTGTTTGCTCTTCTCCTATTTTGTATTGTTTTACGGACAGTGAGATTGAATACTGTTCGTTATCTCAATATCCTTCTATCAAAACTTACTACTTTTCAACTTTGTTTTCATGTACAGCGGGTGCTATTTCCTGCGAGCAATAAAAATCAAGGCTTTTAACATTATTGGCAGCTTTTTTTTTTTTTTTAAATAAAAATGGAACTGTAGTAAATTTATTTAACTTGTCATCGTCAATGTGCAAAACTATTTTGTTAAAAACGTCCTGATGTGAACATAAATACGCTTGATGTTCATATATTATTACGTTTCTAATTGACAATACATGTGTCTGATATGTGTTTTAGGGACCAGATCTTCCAATATTTTGTCAGATTGTCCAGAAGTTCCTTTTTAGGAGGAAACTTAATTTTGTATGCCTATGAAGCAGAATGTATAAAAATTTACATATGAGCGAACGAAAATACTTGCTGTGGCCTTTGACGACATTTTATTAATTAACAACAATGATATTGCTTTTATTCATATGTCGAGATGACATATGCCAATGAGCTTTATGGATAAAAAAATACCACAGAGTCTGACACATCTGTTTCATTTTTCAATAATTTACTAGATAAAAGACGTATTTGGTAACCTAACAACCAAGCTTCATGATAAACGTGATGGCAATTTTTCAATCGTCATCTTCTCTAACTTACATCTAGCAATACGATTATATCCTTAACACTTGCATACAGGGTTTATATCCCTCAGTTGATTCGATACACAAGAGCAAGCTCTATTTACGAACTTTTTTTAAATCGAGGTAAGTTATTACTAAAACGTTTTTTGAAAAAAATTAACAGTTTCGTTGAAAGTAATCATTTCGTAAGTTCTATGGCCAAACAATAGCCTCAGCAAATGCAATTTGTCATTGAGTCAAATGCTGATGGATGTTTTTCCAACTGTCCAGTAAACGTAGACCATTATTTAAAAACTGAATTTTGCGCTTAATTCTCGATCAAGACAGAAAGCACTTGAAGGGTGTGATTGGTTGGCAGGTGGATGCTCACCCAATCATGGCACGTGATCCAACCTCTGATGTTGAAGAGGTCCGTTCTGCTCTGTTCCTGATTGAGATTCAAACTATTCGTTGTTTCCGTATTTCAATCTTCACCTTTTTCATTATAAAAAGCATGCTAACTAAACAAGGAGATCCAAAGGACCGGTTGTAATGTAAATGAATCTCACTGAAACTGCATTGTATTTATGCATCTTTCACTATTTAAAAATATAAACTAGGTAAAGATAACGAATAGTGATTGGTCTAAAAAAATAATCCATAAAATTACTAGTATGCTAATAGTGTATAAAAAAAAAAGACGAATGGGAATCAGGTGCCTAGGATTAGTAGGTGCTTCCCTACCGGTCACACCCACTGTGAGTGCTTTAAGGTAGGATTCTTCTCTGGTTTCTGACTAGACGAAACATTCAAAATATATTTGCTTATATGTCTTATATATTGAGTTGTAAGGAATTTAAAAGACCATATTTTTCTTTCCTCATCACAATTGTACAACCTTAAATAGAAATGGTAAACTGCGTTTGAAAACTAGCAGGGACTATATTTTTGGCGGAATGGTGGCGTATGAAAATATCTTCTTTTCTGCCTCTCAAAATTATAATAGAACAATGAATTTAGTTATAATTTTTACACAGTTGAAGACTTGGAGAAATTTTCAAATGTAAGCTAAATTAATAATGAGGGACTAAACTTTCAAAATATATCAAATAAATATGATTTTTCAAACAAACTAGAACTTTGTTAGCTTTTAAACGCTTCCTATCAAAGTGCAGATTTGAGTCAAAAATCCATAAAAAGTATTTTTTCTCTCTTAGTAAACGATCAAAACTTTTTGTTTTTGTATCATTTTGTACATTTATAAGACTGCTTTATTATATGTGAAAATAAGAAAAAGTTAAATATAGGAAGCATATAAAAATAACTAATATATCCTAAAAAAAAAAAATAAGAAAAACAGAGAAAATTCGGATTAGCCAATAATATGTTTTTATGCAAAAAGAATAATCATTAAACTTTTGAAATAGAAGTAGGTATCACATGATTTGCAACAGTTTTTATTCGTAATGTCAAGGAAAAAGATAATGACCTTGACCTGACCTTGCCTCTAATATAAAACGGTCAAATTTAATCTCACTGATACTATCACTTACTGATATCGTCTTCTTGATTCTGTGAAAATTTCATTAATTCTTAAATATTAGAAATATGAGAAGAATCCTAACTTAAGTTGCTTTGGTAGATGTAGTAACCCAGGTCATTATTTTCAGACTGATTGTGCATGGCTTTTTTCCGTTTACAAGATCATATCAAAGAGCAGGTAGAATGCGGGCGATCCTCACTCCTCCTTGAAACCTAGATTTTTTTAGCATAACTATAATATCACAAATCGCCACCTTAACACTTAAAAGGAGCTGGGTGGTCGTGGCCATTTAGACCAATTCGATCTCCTTTAGAAGAAGAGCTCCATATAAAGATATACAAAAATGATCAAATTTTAAAACTAATATGTAGAAAATTTTTCTTTGTCAAATGATATTGACAGCTAAAGATATCATATCTCAAAATTTAAGTTATATCTGGTGGTTAATTTATTGACACCCCAGCCTCCTTAATGTGAAATAATTTTATATGAATTTTTGGTTTTTACAAAGTGTGTTGTAGACTATGTATTTAAGTCATTGTCTTTGATTTGTTTTCTATGAAAATGTGATTTATTCAACTCTTCTTACTTATTTTTTTATTTTGCAAAATATAAATAAAACTTATTGTTGTAAATGGTCATTTAATGTACATGTATTATCAAACAAATAAACCAATTGTAAATAAGTGCAAAAAGGTACAAATTCCCTTGTTTGAATATATTCCTTACAAGGATATAAATATACATTATGAAAACCTACCTGAGACTAGATGCACTTTATTCCCGGGGAGCATTAACTCTCTTTAATTTTTATTTTCTTCATCTTTTTCCAGTTATCAGCCTTGAATGCTTTTTTACCTAGTCGTTTATGTTGAAAATTGATATAAAAAAACAAGTAGAACAAAAATTATATTCTACATATAAAACAATTAACAACATATCGCGCGGCACATAAATTATCAAGGTAGAATAACATTGAAACTTTTGGTTATAAAAATGAAGTTGAATGTAAATACACTTATCAATCTAATAAACATAATTAAAGTATCTATTGCCTTTTTCACTATGGGTCAAGTGAAATGTATATGTTGTGTATACACTACACCGAGAATGGTTTGTTTTCATTTCATTTTCTGACAATAGTAAAATGTACATGCTAATTAATGACAATGGATAAAATATGAATGTCATGACTGACAACAAGCTTTAAGCATGAAAACAATTGGAAAGAGAGATTTAAATATTTTATTCAGATTTAGTAATTACAATCCAAAATTGCATTTATGAATTTATAGCTTAGGCACGTTTGAATTCATAAATTATGTTCTACTTCATATTAATAAAAAAGGCAAAATTAAGATAATTTGAAAAAGACCCTAATGGTAATCTAACAACCAAACTCTGTGATAAACGGAATGACTTTAACTTTTCAAAAGTCAACTGCCCTTACTCATGCAGAAATATACCTTATATCTGCATATATTTTATCAGTATATCTGCTGGAAACACCTTTAAAATATATCTTTAAATGTACATAAATTTGCACATATACAATTTTGGATTGATTGATTGTATATTGTTTAACGTCCATCTCGAGAATTTTTCACTCATATGGAGACGCTATAATTTTGGAATAAGTAATACAATATATTAACTATTAATATATAAGAAACATAACCTCACTTAAATATCTGTCTTTAAGGTTGAAAGTCTTATCATCTTCTTGATACATGTTCTCTATATTATAACCTTCCTCACTAAATAAGATTTCGTAGCAATATGCAGAAATAGTTAAATGAAATGTAATATTAATCGATACAGTAAAATTCGAGATAAACAACAAGGTTCACTCCAAATTGCTATATTTGGCCCTGTGAATTTCTGTTAAAAATGACACTGCAAGTTTTAGTTAACAATGTATTAAAATATATTAGATCTTTAGTGACTGCGTTCTATCAAAAATGAACGTCATTTT